CATTTTATAGCATTGTAACATTTCATATGTGTATATGTAAAACATTCAAAGTTTTAATATTATTCAATTTCATCATTCCAGAGTCACTCTGAAATTTCAGGCCATTTAGCAATGTGTAAGTTTGCTGGGGGATGAATTCAAAGGTTCATGTAAGAGAAAAAAAATCACTCAACTATAATAATGTAGTTTTTTTTGTTTTCCTCTACTCATGCCTGTAGTAATGCTAGTAAAGTGATAAAAACTTTCCTTCTTTGTGAAAAGTAGTCCTGAAATATAACAAGTGCTAATGCTCATGATGGAAGTGAAAAGAAAATCAAGAGGGCTAAGAAAGTTATTATCCTTAAGAAGAAAATAAGACTTGGGTGACTTAAACAGTAGGGTGTTGGATTAGGTAAAAGTGAAATTTGTGATGTGGTGAGTCCCACCACACAAAACTAGGAATACCAATTCATGTAACTAGGACTGTAGCAAATGTCCTACCAGTGGGAAAAACGATTGATCAAAATGTGCAATGAAAGTTCAAAAACAGGTAACTTGTGCAGAGAAAATAAATATCTTTAAATCTAGACTCATGGAATCATTAGAGATTTAAAGTGTAAATTCTGTGATAGGCTCTAGCTTATCTTGTAACATTGGGTAAGATTTGAGAGACTGAATGTCAAAAATCTGCTATATGTCACTGTAGGAAACTGCAAAGGACTCTGCAGAAAGTGGCTCTGCTGCTTGTATTCCTGAGAAGTTATTTACCTTCTTGGGGCATCTGTTTCTTTATCTTTTTAATGGTGATAATAATGTTTATCTGCTAGATTTCTTCTAAGGAATAAGTAAGATATGTGAAAAGGAGCAGCTCATTTTAGGTGTTCAATAAATTAAATTCTTAGGTGCTATTTAAATTCATATCTATGTAACCCCAAAAACATTTCACTGAGATATTGTGAGAATCCAATAATAAAATAAAAACACCTACCACGTCAATTGACATATAATTTAAAAAAATATATAATTAAAAAAAAAAAAAAAAACCCACTGCCATCAAGTCAATTGCAACTCATAGTGATCCTATACGACAGAGAAAAACTGCCTCATAGAGTTTCCAAGGAGCACCTGGTAGATTCAAACCACTGACCTTTTGGTTAGCAGCCACAACTCTTAACCATTAAGCCACCAGGGTTTCCTGACATATAAGAGACACTGGAAACAATGTGATGCCTTCCATTCCCACCCACTCCATGTCTTAAGTACTTTCCTCTACCTGGAATATCTCTTTCTTCTCTTTTACTTTCAGGACTAAGATAGTTATCACTTTTTCTTGAAATCTTTCCAGGAGACTTCTAGGCTTTATTCTGTAATATTTCTTTGTGATGACCTAGTATTTTTTTATATACATCATCCTAACAGTTAATTGTTCTTTCGCATACCTATCTATTGCATGCCTATTCTTTTTTACATGCCTCTGCCCCCCAGACTGCCCCAGACTCCATAAGGGCAGAAATTTTTTTTTCAACTCAGTAATGACTGACTTAGAGTCATTTGTAGCTCCAACAAAAAAGACTCTGAGTTTAATCAAGTGTAATTTATTTTCAAAACATATATTTTCAAAAACTATATGGAATCCACATTGGAGCAGTATTTTTAAAAATGTCCATCATAATAAAAATTAAACGCAGAGTTGCTAATAACTCCTCTACCTACCTTTGAACTGTGTGGCAGCTTGTATCACTCAAGTGAATTATGTCAATTCTAATAATGAATTACTTTTTAAAACACTGAGCAACAGTGCCTTATTTGGCATTAACATTTTCAGGTCACTGGAGTACAATTTGTTGGATTTTAACATAATTTACCTAACAGTACCCATGTGGTCCAAAAGTGTTAATATACATCTTAGAGTGTTAACTTGCTACAATAGCAACAGCATACTGGGACCATCTGGATCCTTGAATTGATGCACAATCCTTTATTATGCAGCCCTCACTGGCCCCATTGACCTTTAGAGACATACATATCAGTTTCAAGATCAAAGTAAATTATTCTACAACAATAGCATGAGTTCTGTGCAAATATGCCTGCCTTAAAGTTTTCTTTGTTCTTCTCTGCTTTAACCATTCCAATGAATGCACAATGCTTTAAAGACATAAAGACAGATCATCGGAGAGAGGATTTCAAACTTCACTCTAATGAGCAGAGTTTGCAGAACTGTTTTTGATATATTGCTCAGCTCCAATAGATCCCCTCTCTGACCTTGAAATCTGTATTCAGATATTTAGTCCCTTCGTCCTCCTGGATCATATATAGTAAGGGATTTATCCTAAATTTTTACTACTGAGTAATTCCCTGAAAATTTCCTGGGGTGATATGAAGTCAGAAACTTCATAAATTGTCTGACCTCCAAAGGTGTTCCTCTGGTCCCCTAGCTTCGTTCAGCTGTATCAATACTATTTTTACCTGACCCAAGGGTTAATACCCTCTCCGTAGGACTAATAGGTGTTTACTGACCTTCTGATCAGTAGCTACTTAGGATCAGAGCAGCCATTTACAGAGCATCTATATAGGCAACCTAAAAGCCTTCATGGGGAGAAAAAGGTGCTAAAAAGAAAATAAACCTACGATACTCACACATGCACACACACACACATCCGTTAGCAATATTATCTTAGAAATGAAATGATAAATCTGTGCTCATCAAAATGGATTTAAAATGGGAAATCCCACTGCACATGTTTGAAACACTCTGAACAGTGGTTAGAGGGGTTGCTGAACTACTGTGATAGCAACGTCCCACCTGATTAATTCTGACAATGCCTGTGGGTTCAGGGATTGGGAATGTGAGAGAAAATGTGTTACGGTGAAGCGCTACCAAAACAAAACATCCGAGGATGCTGCAGTTTTCTTTGATACAGACGCCAAGCAAGTGTTCGTCATACCGCAGCCCGCCGTGGAGAGCTCATCGCTTCCGTTTGGACAGTCCCTTTGACCATCACAAAGCCAGTGTCGGGGCACACAGGCATGGGAGCCCTGGCAGCTGAACATGTCGGAAGCACAGGTTATGGCATCTGAAACCCAAAGAAGAAATGCCATTGAAATCACTGCCTGTCCACTGGGAAAAGTTTGTGATTTACATTTTTTTATGGAAAGGAGGCAGAAGGGAAAAAAATATTACTTACAAGGAAGAAACTGTAGTTTTTTGGAATTGCCGAACATTATCTTTGCTCTTTAGACAACTACACATTTTCCTCTAAGAATACATGGTTTGCTAATTGCAAGTGTTACATTTCTTATAGCTACTTGGTAGAAAATAGTTTCTTTTCTCCTTGTAAAATGTAGCAAAGCATAGAATTGTCATAGTATTATGAATAAAGTAAGTGAATAACATTTCAAAGGACAGAACTAATAGGGAGAATGATCATCATCATCATAACTGCATTTTGATTGCTTAATATGTGCTAAGCACTTAGCATATTATCTCATTTAATCCTCACAATAACCCCATCAAGTAGAACTATTATTAGTCTCATTTCACAGATAAGGAAATTGAGGCTTAAAGAAGTTGAAAAGCTTGCAGAAAGTCACAGCTTGCAAAGGGTGCCACACGCTAAGCTGGGAGTCTGAAACCCTTCTGATTTCTAAGCACCTTCTCTTAACCACTAATCTCTTTATTGTTACTCCGTACTTCTTTTTGCTGAAACAATTAAATGTATTCATATTCCAACTGTTTTATATACTTAATCAACAAGGTCTATCTTTTCTCTGCTCTATCAATTCAATGTCCCTTTAGTTGCATGATGATGTTTTTCAAATGTATACACAAAATAGTGCTTGTTGACTGACTCTAAATTCAAAGGGTCATAGGTGGTCTCTTTTTGCTTCTCATTAAATGAGCATAAGGTAGCCATATAAAATTAGATAATGATCACTCATTGTCATGGATTGAATTATATCCCCCCAAAAATGTGTGTATCAATTTGGATGGGCCATGATTCCCAGTATTGTGTGGCTGTCCTCCATTTTGTGATTGCAATTTTATGTTAAAGAGGATTAGGGTGGGATTGTAACACACTTACTAAGGTCACATCCCTGATCCAATGTAAAGAGAGTTTCCCTGGGGGTGGCCTTCACCACCTTTTATCTTATAAGAGATAAAAGGAAGGGGAAGCAAGCAGAGAGCGGGAACCTCATACCACCAAGAAAGCAGTGCCAGGAGCAGAGTGGGTCCTTTGGACCTAAGGTTCCTGCGCTGAGATGCTCCCAGACCAAGGGAAGACTGATGAGAATGACCTTCCTCCAGAGCCGACAGAGAGAAAAAGCCTTCCCCTGCAGCCGGCACCCTGACCTGGATTCAGATTTGTAGGCTATGGGACTGTGAGAGAATAAACTTCTCCTTGTTAAAGCCATCCACTTGTGGTATTTCTGTTATAGCAGTACTAGATGACTAAGACACTCATGATGTTTCCCTAGCCCCTAGTACAGTTATATATACTGAATGGTTTATTTGTTTGCTCGTTTTATATAAAATATGTGCTATATGAATCAGTAACATGACCCCAAATCTAACTTTTTTTTTTTAATTGCACTTTCCCATGACCAAAAGCTGCCCAGGATTGATGCTAAA